GTTGGGAGACGAGAGCAAGCCAGACATCAAACCCATTTATTCTGAATCTTAAATTATGACTTTTTATCATCAATATTTTGGTTACATTTGTTACACAAAGGACAGAGTAACATCCGGTTTGAGGTCTCTTCTTTGATTGCTTTGGGATCAGTGCCATGTCCTTGGTGGACGAATCCTGCACCCATCAACTCTCAGCTGTGATTTAATAATATTGTTGCACAAGGTGCTAAAACAAGGAGGATCTGGGAAGCTGCTTGCAGGGCGCCTCGGCCAATACCTTCAAACCGCTGCGACATCCAGGTGGTTTCCCGCCGGGTGCTCACAGGAGAGTGTGGACACCCTCTTGCCTCTGCAGACCAGAAGAGGATCCTGGAGGGAGGAGCAGGTGGGTGCCACTGACTTTGAGGCACCTGATCGCGTGTGCTCACCCGGAGGCAGAGGCGGATCCAAATGAACAAAACCACACTGCCTGGGAGACCCAGGTGCACGCGGCAAAGAAACCATGTGATCTGGGCCTCGGTCATCACAGATTCCATCCTCATCTGACACGATTCAGTGCCACCCAAGAACGTCAGGCTCTTAAAAGTATTCCAGAACGTAAATCAAAGGAAAAAAACAAAATTCCAGGTTGTTAGTTCTAAAAGTGCATCTGAGAGAATCTCTTTGAAATGTCCATCTGTCATTTTCACTTTGACATACAGATACCTTCTGTTTGGTTTGGTCTCATCCAAAACAAAATACACAGGTATTTTTTGTTTTGTTTTGTTTGGTCTCATCCAGGACTTCAGCCCACATTTTCTCTCCTCGCCCCAGCACAAAAAATAAAAGCAGGGGTGAGGAGGGAGGGCTGAGTGTGGGAAGAAAAGTAAAGCTTCTCGAGGGGGTTGGTGGGACACACACACACACACACACATACACAAACAATACAAAACAAAAGTTGCAGTCCAGTCGTGCAAAATTTGCTTCTCCAGATAAAGCACTTCTTGACACAATGTCCCGGTCCCCCTCCTAAGTCCTCCCATCCACCCGGGGGAAAATACAGAATGAAAGAGAAGCCATTCTTTCTCTTAAGGCTGAACAGACACACAGGGAACAGGTTTCAGGGACCGCTGGGCGGGCGGTGATGTGCAGGGCTCTTGCTCTGAGCCGCGCTTGCAGTCCAGCCCGGGGTCAGCCGTGCTCCTCCCAGGGGGACAGCGACACCACGTACAAACAGAAGAAGAGTCAATGGTCCCAACAATGAAATCCGATATTGACTTTACAATCACAGGGACAAATTGCTTAGATCGATCATTTCATTTCTCCTTAAGACCTTGTCGTCTAAAACTAATTAGAGGCCAGGTTCCCAAGGAATGCTCAAGAGTCAAAGAAAATACTGGAGGCTGAGAAGGAAATCACTCTTCTACCGCAACCTTCTGATGGAGGAGGCTGGAGACAAGTTGTCCTGTTCTGGCGAGTTCAGGGTGTGAGGGAGGGTGGATTCCTGGGTCCGGACAGCAACTTCCCCACCGTCCGGGGGGGCTCTGCCTTTATAGCGGGAAAACCAAGAACCCCGAGAA